AGAGAGAGAGAGAGATCAATATACAATGTATTTCTTCCCATCGGGAGGATTCGGTTTATGCCCGTAGACTGCTAGCAACCACTTTCTTGAGGTAAGCAAATTGCGACGCAAAAATTAATAATGAAGTATGAACTAATCACTGATTAATGACCCACACGAATAAGACATCAAATTATAGTACCATTTGGGCGGGAGTTTGTTGAATTCAGCTATTAGCAAGCTAGCATAATAATAATATGTTTTTAAATTGTGTTCTTATAGATTGAAATGCTATCAAGAATATGCAATGCTTAATTTGTTATTAATATATATAACGATTTATCAAGTTACTGCTTTCATCTATGAATACTTTGTTCATTCATATTTATAAATGTATCATGTATGCCTGTGTATTCTAAAGTATACAGTACTTATTTATTAGCAGGGTAGAAACAATCCAAGCTATTTAATATACAACACCAAAAAACGATCTCATATCATCTCAAAAAAATCTTTCTTTTTTTTTTAAAAAAAAAAAAATTCTATTCTGATTTAAAATATTGTTTCCTACAGGCTAAATAATCAATTGATGGAATGTATGCATGATTTCGTCATCAACTACTAACCTATTGCTTGTTATTCATGTTACTTGCTAGCACTTTGATCTCGTTTCTTTCGGTTCTGCTCTGTAATTTTTTGGAATTCTTCCTCCCCAGCAGCAATCAGACGCTTTACAGCATCAAAAGTGGTGAGTCTTATGCTGCGAACGAAGATTAAAACGAGACGAAAATAAATATGTATCTAAATGCATATTTTTTCATGGGTCATTTTGCTAAAAACACACAAACAATTGAGATTTTGGGACTAGGAAACACTATCCTCGCTTGATTTCGCTCAAGAAAAAAAAAATGAATCTGCGAAGACGGATAATAATTACTGTTCAACTCGAATATTAGTGCACAAGTTTAATGAGCTTCTGGTCAATAATAATTGTAATTCCATGATAACTTCACACCCTCATATCACACTCAAGTTCGAAGTGATGGAGAAAATGAACATGTAGATGGAGAAGGCTAAGGAAAATCATGAACCTGCTGTTTGGTAAACTCTTCAATGCATTCGGCACAAAACCCCGGTACAGTCCCGGCAAACCATCACAAGCCACTATGCCTAAATGAGAAATATTCGTCAAACAAATTATTAACTACGACCTGTAACCTTTTCCAATCACAATGTCAAATCAAATAGCAGGACATGAGCATCTTAAAATATGTAGTCGGCATATTTTTTAACATTCTAATCAATATGCATGCATATCTTGCTCTGAAACTGAGAATGACTTGTTTATCCAATTAAATAAATATTGCAGTTCATATGAATGCCCCTGGCTGTTGTATCATACAGAAGTAGGATCCATGAGGAAATCACGAAAATAAGACACTACAGATAAATATAATGACTGTCGACTGATGAGATCGGGCTGACTCAATGGAACTCAATACAGTTCAGTCCTGACATTTATGACATTATCAGGAGAAAAGCTTTACCCAAGTGGTTAACATGATCACCAACTTATCTTAAATGGTCCCATTAAAAGATGGTTCGCAACATAGTTGATCACTTTATCCACATGCGGATCAATAAGTACAGTCAGTGGTATGATGGTAAACCATAAATGTATTCAATTTTCTGCCCCTCACAAATTAATCTCAATTGGCTACTCAAAGAGTTTATGACCTACTCTGCCACAAACTTTAACACTAAATGCATGCAAACCAAATATCATACCAGAAAAGGCATCCAAAACTGTCACATACGGAGTACCCTTCATTTGCATTTGCCGCCTGACAGTATCAAGTGGGTAGCAAATTAGTGTGGCCACAGTAGCCAATATAAGTGTTGTTCCCAAGGTTGCTTGTGTCCGATTTTGATGCTTTTCTGGCAGAGATTTTTTCACTCTGGCATGTAGAATTATGTCAAGTTTCAGTCCAGATAATTTGAACTAATTTCTGAACAACAATATATAGGAAAGAAGTGCAGAACAGGTAAGCTCACAAGTCAAAGATGCAAAAGTTGACCGCAATATAAGGCGCAATTCCAATAAGAGAAGGACCTAGACCACTGTAAAATGGCCCAAGGCCTTCCTCTTTCAACATACTTACAGCAACCTGCATGTAATTTGAGATCACATGTCGAGCTCCATCTCACGATATACCATGGTATATTAACTAGTTACATGTGTCATTGTTCTATATCCCCGTTCAACAGCCAACCTTAAGCGGAGGACATCTAGTGGGTATGTCACTGAACAAACACACATATAGATATTTAAAGAAGAAAAAAAAAAATAGAAAAATCAAAACACATATTTGAAGTGCATCACGCATTTAATAAGAATGTTCAATCTTTTCCTATTGCATTTTGCATTTTATCTTGATAAGTTCCCTAGCAATTTCACTTCAATCCGCAAATAAGATTAATGCCACCATGACAAGAGGTGCTATAAACTACAATATATCTGAATCAATATGTTCGTTGTCTAAGAACTTACAAGAGTTGAAGTCATGCCAGCACATGCACCTGCTGTTAATCTTGCAATTACAGAGAGTTCCCCGTCCTTTCCTTGAAAAAGTGTCTACAATGGAAAATAATATGCATTAGTAAATACAAACTAACATAATTACTGATGCCATGCATAGAAAATAATTATAAAGTACCTTGTAGGTCTCATAAGCAAACAGTTGTACTACACTATAAGGTATGACTCGTATGACCTTGATCGTTAAGAAACAAGAATAAGAATCTGAGGTCGTTGAAGTTCAGAAACTAATATAGCATATCTTATAGAATAGATAATATCATTAGTCATTACAAATAAGTGGTTTGAAAATCCAGAAAGAAAAAGAATATAACAAACCTGGGGCAGATTCCCTTTCAAGTACCCTTTAATTCCTTCTTCCTTCCCAATCAACGTCAAGGCCTAAATTTCACATTCATAAATCATCGCATATCAACGTCAAGGCCTAAATTTCACATTCAGAAATCATCGCATATGGTAAAGTATTACTTAAAAAAAGTCACATAATATGGCAATTCTGTAGAACACACATTATGTCCAACAAGATAGCTATGAGCAAACCATTTCACATTGGAACAAATTGCTGATTGCGCGTATATGAAGTTGTATTCAGGCTGCATATGACTAGGGCTCTTGAAAAGACAATAGCACTTTCATTCTACAGAAACAAGAAGTATTATTTTTCCATACAAGCAAAGTAATGCCTTATGTCTCTTGTATAACTTGTGTTTTATTAGATATCAACAACTTTAGAGTAACACAAAATATTTGTGCACTTATATGTTTCAGTTTCCTTTTAAACAAAATCAAATTTCGAACGTCATTAACCAAACAGTACAATAAGCTGGTTAAGTCCATTCATACCTCAATAAATAAATCCCAATCCCTTCTTGGCTGCATTTTGACAAACTCTTAGTCCAAGTAAAAGAAACAGTAAACACACCAAATCAAAATTCTTTCAATCATATTTTATTAGGAACAAATATTGTATTTAGATACATAAAATTGCACGCTGCCGTAGACACATGCTCTAGCCTCATTATTTATCAGCATCCATAAAAAACCTCATTATAATCAAGACATGGCATACAATCTGTAAAACAGAAAGGAATATGCATAAGCACTTTCACATCTGGCTTGCATTAGCACAAAATCATTCATTGTGCCTCGGGGAAACTACTTAGATTAAATTACTTTTTAAACCTAAATACACAAAATTCCATTCGCCGAGAAATGCAGCAGATAGAAGCTTCATAACCATTCACAAAGAATCAAACACAGTATATCTTTCCAAGTAATTTAATATGCCAAATAAACTATTCACCCACTGACAGGTGATAACAGACAAGGAAATATCAAATACAGAACAAGTAAAATAAACCTAACAGAACGAAGATAAAAAAAGCGAGAGAGAAATTGAGAGAAATAACCTGCATAAGGATCTTGACGCGGTCCAGAGGTGCGATAACGGTCTTTGCGGCGGCTCCGGCGATTGCGCCAGCAGCAAAGAGAGCGGCGTCCTTAGGAACCAACGCGACCGTGGCCAGAGGATGATTGATGAGCTGCGCCATCGTCGGAAAGTCCTTCTCGTCTCTATGCTCCGACAGCGAAACACACGCGAAGCTCCGCCTCCTCCGTCTGCTGATGGCACCGGAACTGGTCGGGTTCGGAGAAATTA